GTGTTAACATTCTTACACCACACAAGTAATATACTAAAGAATTATTACAGAGTGTTAACATTCATACACCACACCCACAATGTTCCATCTAATTAATCATTAAACCTGTTCTTGCATGTATCTTGATTGACACATACCTTTATATTTATGTTTAAACTCGTCAATTCTATTACTATTTTTTATGTCCACACTTAAATTATTCCATAGTTTTACCCCACTTATGGAAATACAGAATCTTTTTTTGGTTGTACGTATAGCATGAATTTTTAAATTTAACTGACCCCTTAGATTGTATCCCCCTTCCCTTTCATTAAATAGTTTTTGAATTCCACCAGGTAATAAATTGTTCCTGGCTTTATACATAAACACAGCAGTCTTATATCCCACTAAATCAAAACATTTTAACAATTTAGACTGTATGAAAGCTCCATTGGTGTGATCCCTGTACCCCATCTTATGCACAATTCTTATCGCTCTTTTTTGTAATATATACAATGGTTGAAGTGAGCTTTTGTATGTATTTCCCCAGTTTTCAACGCCATACTCTAAGTATGGTAGAATCAATGAGGAATACATTGATTTTACAATCAATTCATCTGATTACAGAGATCACCTTTCTTGTATCTCTTTTTGTATCATGTGTCTCCCTTTGAACCTTATGAACAAGCTGGAGATGGCTGGTTTTATCTCCTCTGTTATCAGCAGTTTCAATCTGTCCCTCTGTATAATAAACACAGGTGAATATGCTGTCTGTCACGCTGTTGGACACTGACAAAGCAACACACACAGAGACTCAAAAAAGACTTAAGATGCAGTATTTATTTATCCCTTAAACACTGGTTTTTGCAGATCATTGGTTTAACACCAATTTGAAATTAGGATAGGCTGTTGCTTTGCTGTTTTTATGTTGACACTGAGGATATAGTTGTTCTGAGGTTGCAGACATAAATCTGAGAGTCAGATTTATGGAGTGTTTTTGTGTTTACGGTGCCAAAGCTCCATATTTTCCGACTGTCTTGTCTTGTCTGCAGTAAAGAGCAAGGCCTGCATACATTAGTCAGGGTGATATACTGAGTCTCACACATGCTTGCACTCATCATTGAGATATACAGCTGCAAGCCATTGACTGCACATTACGCCATTGTCAGTGATATGACTTAGCCTGTGCACCCCATTACTCGTGTCAAAGGTTGTGTGTACTGTACAGTATGCATCTGTGTGTTGTATTGTGTAACACCAGAGGGGCACACTTTGCCTTGACATCTGCTCTTGCTTTTATGCAAGAGAAGCACATTTGTTCTCACCTTTGTACACAAGGTGACAAACACTGACATGAGAGTGTGGAAAATGACAGAGGAGCTGTAATGAGTCTGAAAGATACAGAGAGTTTAAAAAGGGGAGATGTGGCAGAAGTCTGTAGGTGGGCCAGATTCATGCTGCAGCCTATAGAGGATTATTTGAGGTTAGTGGATGTTATTTGGTGGTAAACCAGTTCCAGCCCACTGTTTACTGCCTAATTGGTCCCAGTAGTTCTCATTCACAGCTGTTTTTTTTTTGTGTGTGTGTATTTGTGAAGTGGAGAAGGGAAACGACTAGAGAAGATAATGCATACTGTGTGTGCATGTTTATGTGTGAGAGACGGTGATTGATAATTAAATATGGCTTGTTTACTCAGTGTTTGCTTGCAGGGTCAAGTAGATGTCCTGAGGTCAGAGGCGTTGTTGGTTGTGATCTCTCTGCATCCCACTCAGACCGAATCATAAATTGATGCTTCACTTTAGGTCTGTACCTAAGGATGGGTTTAAAATAACTGTGTGAAAACAATTTGAAGTTCACATAATCTTGGGGTGAAATGCATTGTAAATAGGCTCATGTGTAATATCTTGTTCCTGATCTCTCTCAAATACTGTACATTGCCCTGCTTTAGGTACTTTTGAGTAGTTGCTCAGAGATCCTTATGGCTGAAACACAGGTTTCTTTCCCCCATTGTGGGATAAATTGTGTGAGTAATATTCGATTATTCTTGATTTCCTGGTTGTTTAGTCTCTACTGCTGTTCCTGATTCTCTCCAGTGCTGTTAGGATGGCTCGAACACGGAAGTGAGCGAGTCACAAAAATTGACAGACCCAGGTGGCTGACTTCGATGCAAGCAGTGCAAGTTTATTTACAGTGTACAACAAGTGACCAAGAAATGAACAGTCAAGTAACACTGGGACCGGGTGTCGAGCTTCGGATGGGAACACAGTCAGTGGTAGAGATGATGAGAAGAGGACCGGGCTGCGGACACTGGGACTCACTCCTGGACTGGTCGAGTTGGATGGTACTGAAGA